AGTAAAACTGAATTGACAACCCATTCAAAGACAAGGATTTGTCTATGAGAATAAATCTCGAAGCCAAAACCACCAGAGACGTGAAGTTTGACAAACGCTCGTCTCGCAGCCACAGTGCAAACAGTAATTTCATCTTTCGACTGGTCGCTAGGGCAGCATGATGGAGCCCAGACATCAGACACTCGAATCTCTAATGTTGTCGGGTCTAAGGAGAACGGATGGTTATCCCATTTGAACAGAATTATTTGTTTTGCAAGAGAATTGCTACTTCATATTCATCTCTTTTCCTATGTTGGCATTAAACAAACTTCAAATTAACCTCATACTTAATCCTGAACTTTAACTGCTTTCAGACAGTTGTTTCGCGTTTAAACGTTCAAGAACCACCATAGCTGACATGCCTGTCAAAGAACTGCCGCCAACGCAAAAGTCTAGCAGATTCATAATTGCACAAATTATGAAAAAAGGAGCATGTTTACATCGCAAACTCGAACACATGCATAATGCAAAACTATACAGGCGAAAAAACAAAAAATAGCACATGACATGCAATGTCTTACTGGTGGCTTGGACGCGACCGGGATGTGGCTGACACAGGACGGAGGTACATAGGAGAACGGAGGTCGCGAATGCATTCAGAAGAAACACCATGGCCGTGTAACTGTCGGCATTCCTTGCTGAAACACACGTCACGTGTCACCATCAAGTATGAGTCAAAGAAACAACGCGACAACGACGCGAGTATGTTTGAGGAACTCGCCGCGACCGGCGACTGCCATCATCCAAAAAATGCGATCGATCTGCTGCGATGACACTTATGTACATGAACACTTAAATAACGGAGGCCAAAGTCATCGATTCCTCGCAAAACCTCGTATTCGAACAAAAAGACAAGTTAAAATGCTTCATCGTCACTTTGCATGTAAATTGCGAAGGTCGTTGTACAACCCCAGAAGACAGCCGGATGAAAACTAATTGTCACGTAAGTCTACTAGAGAAGGACCTGATAAAAGCTTAAAAATTATGAGTAAGGGAGGAACGAGGACAGATCCTGTGCCTAGCAGAACTTTCGCGACTAATGCAGAGCTGAATCTGAAGAAGAAGTTAATCATGTTCAAGTGTCTGTGTCGATTTCCACCCTACGCGTAACTGTGATCAGGAGTCGCGGGCCATGACTGTAAAACTTAAATCACTGATATAAGGAAAATGGGCTTTGTGAGACGAATCGCTGAGCTCATGAGTTTCGACACAGTCCAGGGTTCGTATCGAACAGAGCCTTGCTGTACAACCGCTGTTTCTCTAGATTGAGAAATGACAGCTGATATGATTGGC